TGCTGTTTAACCAAGAACAGATGTAAAGGAGGGGTAATGGGCCCATTCAGCTTAACCTTCCCTCCTAAGCAGCAGCCTCAAAGTTAGCACAGCAGAGTTCTCCTTACAGCATGCAATGGGGGAGGAGGGAAGGAGGGAGGGAGGGAGGGAGGAAGGAAGGACTCTGGCCCTGTCTGCTTGTGTTAATTGATGGCTTCTGCTGCAGTTCTTCACACTTTGGAAAAAAAATTGGAACAAATGTTTTTATTTATAAGTGTAAAAAGGAAAAAAAAAAAGCCAAAGCAAATTAACAGCTTTATTAGGGTGTCAAACTAAAGCTAAAAAAGAAAAGAAAAGAAACTAGATCCAAAAAGCTTAGGAGTCAGAGACTTAAGATACATTTACAGTAAAGCAAAAAGGTATATGTGTGTGTGTGGGGGGAATGTTTCAAAGTAGTGGCAGAGAAGGCAGGGAAGTAAACCATGGGAAAGGCCACTTTCTGCCTTTTATTCAGCTGTGGCATTTGACACTATGTGTGCTCTAACACACTGAGTTCTGACTCTTCTGTGTGTATTGATTGATGTTGTCTTTGCAATGTGCAATTGGTATTGGTGTTCACGTAAGGTTTGTGTGACTTGCAACTGGTAATTGTGGTGAATTGATGAGGTGCTGGGGTGTGCGCCTTAGTTGTGTGCCTAGTAATGCACGATTGTGCAACTGAGATACAACCTGGTACCTCATCTGTTAGCTGTAATTAGCCACAACAAATCACACAAACTGCAATAAATAGTATTCCAGCCATTATTTTTCCAATTTTTAGAACCAGCCAGTGAATTCTGTGAACTGAAGGGCAGTTAAACATTTCAAGTACAACACATGAGTACATACATAAAACAAGTGGCCAGTGTAAACTTTTTTTCCCTACATGGAAGTGTTGGAAAGATGCATTTTCCGCACAAGAGATAACAGTATCCATTCTAGAACCAGAAGAAATGGTGCTGGTTGCAGTTCTAACATTCCTTGTATATTTAGCCTTGTACACTTTGATGTAAATCATTACATACCCAACCACAACTGTTCATATTAATTTTAAAAATTGTTTAAAAATTAATAACCCTATTAAATATTGGCAAGATTCCTACTGGCAATTGATACTTCTGTAAAGGAGAAGTTTACATCTTGGCAGCAACGTGTCACTCATTAATCAGGTGCTGTTTGCATTCTTGGGTGCATGCATGGCCAGTCATATGACCAAAACATGTTCTAGACTTCTTCATACTTCAAGGAGAAACTTGGAGAAATTACAATTAGCGGCGGGGGGGGGGTTTCCAGGATAAGGAATATCCCTTCTTCTCCTGCCCAGAGATCAATTCAAAATTGATCTTCTCCTCATTTCTTGGGACCAAAAGGAATTGTTGCTGGTGCTAAGGAGTTGGTTGGCTGCAAGTTTCTTTTACCAGTTTCACATTTTTTTTGTCTACGTCTGAACTGGCAAGAGCTGAATGGTCCAAAACATTAATGTTGAATTAATATTTCTGCATTACTCTTTTGTAGTGACTTTTCTGTACATCAGAATGGGTGGTGTATAGGGCACAGGGTAATTCTGTCTGATTTTTTAGTAGCCATGCTTTACAAGGGTGCATTTTATCCCCTAATCTGCACACAGAACATATCATACAAAAAGCCAGACTAAATGCAGATGAAGGGGGAGTGAACGCTGGTGGAAAAAACATCAATTATTTAAAACACTGGTTCAGTCAGTTTTGGACTGCAACTCCCAGAAGCCTTCACCACCAACTGTGCTGGCTGGGGTTTCTGGGAGTTGCAGTTCAAAAACATCTGAGTAACAAAGGTTAAGAACCACTGATTTAAGACATGTAGCTGACACCATCTTACTGGCGGAAAACACAATCACTTGAAATGATTGTTAGGAAAAGTGAAAGAAAAAAGTGCCAAAATAGGATTGCAGTTGAATGTTAAGAAGACAACAAGAGTTATACAACTTTAAGGTTGACAATGAAGAAACTGAAATAATTAGAGATTTTGTATACTCTAAATGGAGACTGCAGCCAAGAAATCAGGAGGAGACTGGAAAGGGCAGCAGTGATGGGATTAGAAAAGATTAGAAAAGAGTCTGTAGTGAAGTTTTTGTTCTCTGTTGTAAGATCCCATAAAAAGGCCTTATTAATTTAACTACTTTTTCCAAATATGGGTATGTTTTAAAAACTATCCGCTATTTTGTTCTTATTGCTCTAATGTTTGGGTCAGTGAATGCACAATAAAGAATGAAAAAAATAATAATCAAGGGTAAGGATGTGTCACTGGAGACAAAGACCAAGATCGTGCACACTTTCATATTTCCGATCACCATGTATGGGTGTGAAAGCTGGACAGGGAAGAAACCTGACAGGGGAAAAATTGATTTGCTTGAAATGTGATGCTGGACAAGAACTTTGTGGATACCCTGAACTGCTAGAAAGATGAATAAGTGGGTCTTAGAGGAAATCAAGCCTGAACTATCTCTGGAGCCAAAAATGTTGAACCTGAGGCTGTCCTCAGGTTTGGGCACATTGTGAGAAAGCAAGATTTTCTGGAAAAGACAGTAATGTTGAGAAAGGTGGTAGGCAGCAGGGACAAAGGAAGACCAAATGTGAGATAGGGCGACTCCATAAAAGAAGCCATAGGCTTGAATCTGCAGGAGCCAAGCAGAGGTGTTGAGGACAAGACATTATGGAGAGTGCTCAGCCATTTGGTGGCACATAACAAGAACAACATGCCATACTTTAAATCAAGTTAGATGGATCTTTAAAGAGGTTTACTTGATTTGCCTTTAAGTGACAAAGAATTTGTCAACAAAACCATGTGTATAGAAATGATGGCCAGAATTCTGCTTGCTTTTTCCATTGCATTCACAGTTGTCCTTTTTTACTAACTGCTCAAAGGAGTATTCACTATCACATACAGTATAAGCCTGATGCAGTATCTGGCTAGTCACATGATTATAAGCCAGAGCAGTCAGAATCATAAGCAGCAATTTTGGCACCCAGGGCAAGTGCCCTCAAATTAACTTTGTAATTCTTAACGTGAAAATAATCCAAGAAGTAACTGTAACACTGAACATGCTGCCACCACCTCCTTTCTTCCATTGAGGATCAGCAGCACTGAAGAACTAAAGAAACAAATCAAAAGAGGTGTGTGTGTGTGTGTGTGTGTGTGTGTGTGTGTAATGTACACAATACATGTAGTTTAGCATATCATATACATGCCATCCAAGCCAGCAGTTCTACCAAACTCTGAATAGATCTGTCATCCCACAGGAGAGGCCCAATCTGCCAATGACGGAAATAGACCAACTGTTCATTTGAGCCAGAGGAGGACATCTACACTCCACTCTCTTAGCAGGGTGTGCTGTACTGACTACCTTTCCCTCTGCTCCCTTCTGATAGTCTGATCTACTAGCTGGATGGCAATGTTCACCCTAGAGCCCTGTTGATGTTGTTGTTGTTGTTTTCTTTTTCGTTTTCATTTAGTTGTATCTGACTCTTCGTGACCCCATGGACCAGAGCATGCCAGGCCCTCCTGTCTTCCACCGCCTCCCCGAGTTGGGTCAAATTCATGTTGGTAGCTACGATGACATTGTCCAACCATCTCATCCTATGTCATCCCCTTCTCCTCTTGCCCTCACACTTTCCCAACATCAGGGTCTTTTACAGGGAGTATTCTCTTCTCATGAGATGGCCAAAGTATTGGAGCCTCAGCTTCAAGATCTGTCCTTCCAGTGAACACTTAGGGTTGATTTCCTTCAGAATGGATAGGTTTGTTCTCCTTGCAGTCCAGGGGACTTTCAAGAGTCTCCTCCAGCACCACAATTCAAAAGCATCAATTCTTCGGCGGTCAGCTTTCTTTTATGGTCTAGCTCTCGCTTCCATGCTGGACCACACTACCAGGTCAATGATTCTGAATTGTAGTGGAAGGTGTGCATCATCTGAAATTAGAACTGTGGGGCAAGGCCCTGCCATAGTTACGCTCCCAGGATTCATCACAGAGCATTCCACCTGTGAACCAGTTATGTTCCCCAATTGCTAATAGGATTCTTCCACTCCTTTTTCATGTAATACTCTGTCAGATACACAATAGAAGCTTTAAAAAAGTTTTATGCCATTCTGCTCTCAGTATTAAGAGACTAGGAAAATTTGTGTTTGCCTTTGTATTTCTGCAAATGTATGTAAGGTGCAGTGTCAGAATTGGACACTAGAGGGAACCAGAAAGTATTTCTTTGCATTTCCTTTGTTGGCAAAGGTTACGCAGTCACAACAGGTTAACCAAATATAACACAATAAATTACTTGCACAATGGAAGAAACAATAATGATAGTAACATCCTGCCCACCCAGAAGTTATGGTTAATACAACAGGCTCATTTTTTAGTGACACTCCAAGATCTGCAGATAATAATAATATATACAGCGATGCCTCACTTGACAATTACCTTGTTAGACGAGGAAATCGCTTGACGATTAGGTTTTGCTATCATTATTGTGATCGCTAAGCAATGACTGAATGGGCTTTTTTCACTTAACGTTGATCAGTTCCCTGCTTCAGGAACCGATTTTTCGCTTAATGACGATCAAAAACAGCTGATCGTCGGGTTTCAAAATGGCCACCCGCTGTGCAAAATGGTTCCCCGCTGTGCTTTAGGACAGATTCCTCGCATTACAGGCTCTGGAAAATGGCGGCCGTATGGAGGATCTTCACTGGAAGCGGAGGTATTTCGCTCATTGGAACGCATTGAACCAGTTTTCAATGCCTTTCAATGGGCTTTTTCATTTCGCTTGACAAGGATTTAGCTTAACAGTGATTTGAACAGAACAAATTATGCTAGTCAAGCAAGGCACCACTGTACTGTATTTTTCCATCTATAGGATGCTACTTTTTCCTAAAATCATTACCGTAAAAATTAAGGGACGTCTTTTACACAGAAGTAAGCTGAGAGAGCTGAAGAGAGAACAAAATGGCATATACCTTGCTTCTCTAAACAGTCTTGCTTCAGCCACAAGGCTTAGTTTCCTGTAGTCAGGAGATTTAGCTTCCTCCAATCACAAGCCTTATGGAACTGATGTCAGCTGATCCTGAACAAACCAATTAAATTACACCTCCTTGGAGGTGGAGCCTATAGGCTCAAAATTCAACAGAGACAAAATGTCCGACGTTCCGAGGTCAGAGGCTGAATCCTCAAAGATACGTTTTCTTAATTTGGGGATTAGAAAATTGGGGTGGCGTCTTATAAATGGCGGCATGTTATAAATGGAAAAATATGGTACTTATGGACCCCAGATCACTTTATGAGTAAGGTGGTGCCTTTGTGTATGCATTCCTTGTAGAAACTGCTGCTAACTGGAAACAGGAATCTTGCCCCATTCATTAGCCTACTCTATCCACAGCTTGCATAGATAATATTTATATATGGAAGCACAATGTCAAAATCTGACAATGTCTCTTTCATATGACAAGATGCCATAAAAAAAACCCATGTGCCATGTGTGGTTATTGTACATATCTCCTATCTCCCATGCTGCTCTGACTGTGTCTGTGTTGTACCTTTCCACCTCCCAAGTGTTGATTCTGGAGTTGTTATTTTGGGCGCAGAGTAACTGTAAGAAAAATCACATTCCAAATGTTTCTGTCAAAAGGAGGGAATGTAATGAGCAAGTCAACAGAGAATTCCACTTGTCAAACATCATTTGCCTGTATCTATGGCTTTTGTGATGCAACCTTGTGTTTGGCTATGTTGTGTGAAATAAACAGAAAAATTGACTTCCTAGAAACAGATCCTTTGAATCTGCTCTGGAATTTTGGTCATAAGGATTGGAGTGCTAAACCAGATTAGCACTGTCCCTTCCCAGCTCAAAACTACTGCCACTTAGAAATCATTTGTACTTCCCCCATAATGTATGAAATCTCCTGATTGAGGTTTTCAGCCCACCCCACCCCCCACTTCCAATGGACAGCCAGGGAAATAAGATACTGTATCCATAAAGAAGAGTTTGACATTAAAAAAATTCACACACTTCTGAAATTGCCTGTCAAATCACTTCACATCTGTACCTAAAGCAAACAGACATAATGCTAACAGCTTGCTAGAACTCAAAAATGCCACCCACTAATCAGTCCACCTGTGGAATTCTCAGTCCATCTTGCAAACTGTGGAGCTGACTGCCAAGATACTTGACAAGAAAATGTATATTAGACTAAGGCTAAGGAAGGAGGAAAATGGAGTGCTGTGGTATAAACAAAATTCACTTGGCGTGCACCCAGTCAATGTATCTGTTGAAGTCAGCTCATAGTCTGTTAACCTGGCTTCACACTATGTCACTTGTGAGTGCAGACCCCGCACCCCCAAAGATGGTGCTTCTCAAATGGAGGCAGCTTGGAAATTTTAAAGTAGGACACCAAGTTACTGAGGTATAGCACTAGAAACCATAATTTCTAGAATGGGCTCACAGGAACTGCTTCTGATATTCCGGAATCCGCTGAGTGCTTGGAAACTTCAGCGGGTCCAGAACACTGCAGCCAGGTTAACTGGGGCTGGTTAGAGGGATCACATAACCCTCCACTGTTACAGCAGCTCCACTGGCTGCCGATCCATTTCTGGGCACAATTCAAAGTGTTAGTTTTAACCTATAAAGCCCTAAATGATTTGGGTCCAAGCTATTTCGAGGACGGTATCTCCCATTATGAAGCTGCCTGGTTCATAATCAAAGGAGGCCTTTCTCTCTGTCCCATCATCCTCACATGTGTGTTTGACTGGGGACACAGGAGAGAGCCATATCTGTTGCTATACCCAGATTCTAGAACTCCCTCCCCCAGGAGGCTGGGCTGGCCCCATCTTGTCCTTCCAGAAGCAGGCAAAGACCTTTCTCTTCATGGAGGCTTTCCTTCAGCGATTGGCTAAGAGAGGTTTTAAAATAGGATGTTTTGCATTTTGCTGCTTCTAAGTAATGCTTTACCTAACACTCTTAATCAAATATTATCAGTTTGTTTAATATTTGAATTATTCACTGTTTTTTGCTTTATTATTGTGTTTTAATGATGTGTACCACTATGGATCCTTTCTTAGGAGAAAACAAACAACTCTTCCAGTATAATGGGCTACACGCAATATATGTGAATCTGTGAACAGAAATCAAAGGAAATTAGGGTACTATTTCTACTTTTTCTAAACCAAGCAAGAATGTTCACATAAAAACATCTCACTGTCTGAGACCAACATGTTGTAATTAGCTTGCCTGTGGAGACTGGGACGAATGGGGCTTGTCCTGTGACAGGTTTAACAGGAAATATGGCATAACAAAAGGAGCTGGGTGGTTGCAGTGTTTGTGAATTACTCTCTAGCCTTGGGATATGAGATTCGGGAAGGAAAAGTGGGGGAGCTAGCAGCAATTTCTCCTTGAATTTGGGTAGAAAGCAATACCACCAGATTGAAGAGTTACCTGAGAATGAAGCATCTCCGAGGGCTGCATTAGGAATTGTGAGGGCTGTGCTGCTTGCTTTAGGAATCTGCTCGCTTCCCTAATCCTGTGCTTGGACATTTGAAATGAATCAATATTTTTTTTAAAACTCACAAGTCTGTAGAGAAAGCCTACCTTTGAACTTCTTGCTCTTGAAGATAGTGAAGGATGACAAATGTAAATTCACCTGTTCCTGTGATTTCTCCCAGCTGTGACTAAGTTTAGTTAATTAAACCTTTTCTCTGAATATCTTAATTGGATAAGGTAACAATGATAGGTACAATGAGTAGGGTCTGAGGAACAAAATTGCTTCTCCCTTGTATGTTTTGAGGGATTAGAAAATCTTTGACCAAACTCTGGGAGGCAGTGAAAGACAGGGAGGGCCTGGCGTGCTCTGGTCCATGGGGTCACAAAGAGTCGGACATGACTTAGCAACTAAACAACAACAAAGAAAATCTTATGTTGAGGTAATTTGCAGGCAATTTAGATTCTATTTGGTGGTTGCAGATTTGATTTTTAAAAGCTATTTTTGTGTTTCACATTTAATCACTGTTTTTAAAATGTTCCAGTAGGTAAGCATCACAGGGCACAGGAAAGAGTGATCTATAACTATCATGAAATAAATTATAATTATGTAATCTAGCAATCATGCATCTGATGCAGCATATTTGCTAACCTTCCAACATGGCGGAAAGCTCAGCAGACTGGAAAGCTCATGGTAACATAAACAGGTAGATGCTGTTCATGGATAACCTTTTCTCATGGTTCTCTCTGATAAAAATGTTCATTGCCTACTGAAATACTACATGTAACCTTTCTATATATTGGTGACTCATTCATTCATTCATTCATTCATATTTATTTATTTATTTATTTCCACATCAGATCTTTTCTTTCTGTATAAGAATTTTTCACTGCTTCTGTGAAAGATTTCCTTCTTTTAATTACTTCTTTGCACCTGGATATACTGTAATTAACATTCACAAGAGTCTGCTTATTCATAGGCTTAGTGCTGAGCAAGAAAGCATCCTTCTTGACTAATGACTGCCTTCTCAAGGATGGGACAAAGAACTCTGTATGTGCATCTATAACCATATATATATACAGTATATACTGTAGAGTTCTGGAGACCAACATCCAGTTCTGCTGTTGACAGCATCTGATCACTTAAATGGCAAAATGATAATATTCTTGTCCTTCATCCAAGTCGAGCATTAAAAGATCTGTTAGGGGAGAAGAGGACGGTTAAGGAATGTGATGTGCTGAATAATTTTAATGTATCACTCAGGATGGGAAGGTCACACAATCTGTGGTGCAATGGTAAAGAGCAAGCAATGACTGACTTTTTAAGAGGTTGTTTTCTATATGTTATTCTAAGCCTACATGTTCACACGGAAGTTTGTCGGTGTTCCTTTTTTTAAAAAAACTTGCATTTGTACAAATCCAAAATGTTATTTCAACATCTGTTCTTTTAAGGCAGTCAGCTCTGGGAAAGCAGTATGCTTTGCCATAAATTTAGGTCATTAATTTGTATCTGTTCTTTGTTTATTTAAGAAACAGGACAAAAGGGCAGCTGCTGAAACATTTGGTTGTGCCGAGGGGTAGAGGGCTGAATACGATGAAGTCTGTGTGAGACCAGCTTGAGTTTGTATCCGCAGCTACAGGACAGAACTTTACGGAAACCTTTTGCCAAGCCATGTGGCGCTCAGCACTCCCTTGCATCATGCAAAATACCTGGAGGTTTTTTTAAGACATAAGACATAAGACATAAGAAATTTATTTGTCATTGCGCTCACAAGTGGGTGCAACGAAATGAGGTGCTCTTCCCCAAGGTAAAACTGGACAACACTACAAAAAAAAAGTTAAAATATACACAACTTTCACCATCCAAATATAGATACCCCGTTTTCTCTCAGCAATTAAAAAGTCCACCAAAAACTTATGGCCCCGCATTTAAACTCAATACTGCACTTGGGTAAAAACTGTTCTTGAATCTGCTTGTCCTTGCTTTCAATACCCTGAATCTCCTTCCTGATGGTAATAGTTTAAAGAGCTGATATCCCGGATGAGAGGAGTCTTTCAGTATGTTAGATATCTTCCTCTTACATCTGTTCTTATACAATTCTTCCAAAGAGGGGAGTGAACAGCCAATGATGTTTTGGGCCGTCTTGATCACCCCTTGAATTGCCTTTTTCTCTGCCACTGTGCAGCTCGTGAACCATACACAGAGACAGTAGGATAATATACTCTCAATTGAACTCCGATAGAAGGTGATTAACAAACTCTCAGTCAATTGTTGCTTTCTAAGAATCCTTAGAAAATACAACCGTTGTTGTGCCTTCCTGATTAACGCAGCGGTGTTTGCACTCCAAGTCAGGTCATTTGTTATGATAGTCCCAAGAAACTTACATTCAACCACCTGTTCCACACAAACTCCATCTATATACACTGGCTGAATGTCTGCTCTTTTTTTCCTATAGTCCACTATGAATTCCTTGGTTTTTTGGATGTTAAATAAAAGATTATTTTTTTTTGCACCAGCGGGATAGCTGTAATACCTCGTCCCGATACGCAGACTCATCATCCCCAGAGATAAGTCCTACTAGTGTAGTATCGTCTGCAAATTTGATAATCCTATTACTGGGATGGTTATTGGTGCAATCCGATGAATAAATGGAGAACAGTAGTGGACTAAGGACACAGCCTTGTGGAGTGCCAGTGCTGAGTATCTTGTCAGTAGAGATGTAGTCATTCAGTTTAACCCTTTGTGGACGACTTGTTAAAAAATCCAAAATCCACAGACAGATAGAATCTGGAAAGTCAAGATCTTTAAGTTTGTCTATTAATCTGTGGGGTATAATGGTGTTAAAAGCAGAGCTAAAGTCCGCGAACAGCATTCTTACATAATTCCCTTGTGTTTCCAAGTGGGATAAAGCCATATAAAGCACAGTATTGATCGCATCCTCGGTTGATCTATTTTCTTTATAAGCAAACTGAAGCCCATCAAAGGGATGAGGAAGGCAGGAGATAATATATTTCCGAACTAACTGCTCAAAGCACTTCATTAAGATTGAAGTTAGTGCCACCGGCCTGTAGTCACTCGGACTGTTTGTAGGCAACTTTTTAGGCAGTGGAACGATGACGGAAGCCTTGAGACAGACGGGAACTGCGCATAGTGTCAGGGATCGATTAAAAATTACAGTCCATATCCCGGCTAGCTGATCAGCACAGTCTTTTACCACCCGACCAGGAATTAAGTCGGGTCCAGCTGCTTTTCTGGAGTTAACCACTTTCATAGTCTGTCTCACATCCTGCTCATTCACAATGAAGGGGGGACTCTGCTGAGTAAATGATGGCAAACGAACAGTTTCAGTTTGATCGATCTCGAATCGAGCAAAAAAGTTGTTCAACTCCTCAGCCACCTCCACGCCTCCGCCCGAGGAAACCTTTTTTGCTTTGTAGTTTGTTAGTTGTTGAACCCCCTGCCAAACTTGCCTCATGTTATTGCTGAGAAAGCAGTCTTCAATTCTCCTCTTGTATTCGGCCTTAGCTTGCTTAATGCCTCTCCTCAAGTTCGTTCTTGCTGCACTGTAGTCTAGATCATCTCCAGACTTAAAAGCCTTATTTCTAGCATACAACAGGCGTCTAACCTTCCCGGTCATCCAAGGTTTTTGATTGGGATAAACCCGGATACGTTTATCCACTGTGACCGTGTCAATACAGTGTGCCATATACCCTAACACTGCAGCTGTATGTTCTTCCAGATCAGGATGGTCAAAAACTTCCCAATTCGTTTGTTCAAAACAGTCCTTTAACTGCTCCATTGCTCCCTCCGGCCAGCTTTTCACTGTCTTGACTACTGGCCCTGACTGTTTTCTCAGAGGAATATACTCCGGAGCTAAAAGAGAGCTAAAAGTTTTTTGGGGCAGGAATGAAGGAAAAGTTCTGGGAAATAATAGTTGGCAACTAGAGGGAAGCATATATGTTTCTCAAAATCTCTTTCCAAAAAATGAGATTGCCTATTTTAATTAGATATTTCGAAACAGAAGCAGAATACCAACTAAATTCAAGCCTATGCACAGCAAATTGCCTATTTTAATTAGACATTTTGAAACAGAAGCAGAATACCAACTAAATTCATTGTTAGCCACATTTAATGCCAAAAATTGACCATAAACAGCGGAATAATTTCTAAAGAAGTGCTAATATTATAAATCATAATGCTTTCACTGGCCGCATATTCTTGAAGGGAATCATGTCTATTTGCAGGGGCCACATCTCATGTGTTGATTCTGTGGCTTCTAATCCATTGTACATAGACTGTCAGAAAACAGAATGTTTTCAGATCTGACATCTTTGATGTTCCTCTAGAGATACCACCAAGCATTTTGAACTGAAAGGGCTTCTGGAGGGTGAGAGAAGGGGTCTTAAAGGAATGAGCAAAAGGTTCTGAGCCTAGACAGCAATGTTCCAAAACAGGCAGAATTGATTGTGGAACATACTTGATGTTCTCTTTTTCATAATAAGCAGCTCCCTCAACCCTGAGGCTTGTATTTGGTTTTCGTCCTGTATTGAGGCTTTTGTGCGCCAAGAGGTAGCAACCAAGGGCAGATCCAAATTTCACAAGTCCCTTTGAAAATCTGCTAACTAGCGAGCCCTCTCATACATCAGAGTACCTCACACGAGCATCCCTGCCAGCCCTGGCAACAACAAACAATATGCTCATGTCTGGTTGCAATACTCTTTTTGTGAAGGTGCTTTTCTTTCTGTTTTTTACATAGGAAACAGGGGAGCACTCCCAATCCCAGGGCTTATGGGCTGAAAGACTTCAATGCAGCTCTGGAATGTCTCTAGGTGTGCGACTGATCACTTTGGTCAATATTGTTTCAGTTCTTGGGAGGGACCACAACTCAGCTGCTAAAGGTTCATACACAAAATGTCCCAGGTCTAGGCTCCAGCGTTTCTAGTTGAGGCTGGAAAAGTCTGTTTATATCCTGGACCACTGTTGCCAGTCAGTGTTGATAATAATGAGGTAAATGGGCTTATGGTCTATAAGTCAACTTTCTGTGATCCTGGTCCCTTTTCATCCTTCGATCACTTCCAAAGGCAAATGCCTTCAATTGTGTCAAGAGTGCCAACATGCTTTGTCATGCACGTTTGTTGAAATTTTGAGGATTAATTACCACCAGCAGCAGTTAATGCATCACCAGAGACTAAGAAGGATCATAGAAATGTAGTTAAGGAATTCAATGTTTCACCAAAACACAACAACAAAATGCTTAAGGTAAGGTAATGTTAGCTGTCAGTTAGACATATCAGCAATTCTGATCTTTCCACATTTGGCTTGCCATTCTGACTATAAACTTCTAGTTTTATTACTGGACTACAAATCACCAGGTAATATTTTCTTAGGATTCAAAGCCTTAGGCCATTTTAAGACTTTATTTCAACGTTTAGTATGTATCATTATATTGATAAGTAAGAGGAGCATCTAACAGACATTTGGTTTTGAGAGCTCCTAGGAAATAGTCAGTACTCAATTAAACCAAAAAAACTATAGAAAACTGTGTAATTGTTTACATTATTCAGATTTTGGTGCTAACATCAGCAGGACAAATGAAAGAAAAATGGATTTTGGAAACTTTTCATTAATGTTTAAAAAACATATATTGTTGGCCGTTAGAATGCACAAAGGAGGGTCTTCTCTTTTTTAAAGTCATTTTTGTGCCAAAAAAGCATGTGCCGGTGCTTAACTCTGGATCTCTGGAGACCATCTCTGAGGTTTAAGATTTATGTTGCAATCCTTGAAGCACTCAGGAACATCTTTTCTTAAAATGATATGTTGGCACCTACTTGGGTCCCTATGATACTGCAGTGGCATAGGATGTTTCCTTGAGGAAGTCCCAATTAGGCCTCACTCACAATGCAGCAATATGGTCCAAGAACACATGTAAAGGTGGCGATGAGTGGAGGCTACCACAGCATGTGCAAAGCATAGATGGCAGGGGTGCATGCCTTCAGGTGTTGCTGCACTGTGATTCCTATCAGACCTAGCCAGTATAACAAGTGGTGAGGAAAGCTGGGAATTGCAGTCCAACAATATCTGTGGGCTGCACTTTGCCCATCCCGGGACAGTAGAAGAAAGGTGGCAGATTGAAATAGGGACTCTTGAGAAAGGGGCTAAAGAACAAGAAGCAAATGTAGTGGAAAGGAATATCAGAATAAGTGAAAAAAAATTGGAAGGAGAGTGGCATAAAAAGTCACCTCCAAAGGCTATACTTAGTTGGGTGTTTGTGTATTTTGAGTGTGAAGGAGGAAATACAAAAATCACGAAACAGGAGAAATGAAAAATAAAGAAAATTACAATGATCCAGTGAATGAGCATGTGCCCAGTTGACCACAAAAAGCTCCTGTTCAAATCAAGATAATTTTCCATAGGGGAAAAACAATGCAAGGAAACTGTCATCACAATTGAACATACACAAACATCCTTAGGTCAAAAAGCCTTCCATTTTCTTCCCCCTACTTTCACCGAAACTTTATTTAACCGTGACTTTAAAAGGACGTTATCTGCTTTGTGGCATTAGATTATTTTCATGGCAAAACAAGTGGGCACATTGTCCCTTTGATGTCACCTGTTCAAAGTAGCTGTTCAAAATGTCTCATTAAATGTGATAAGTATACAATTCTGGCTTTACTCCACTGACACTTACCAATGTGTAATAGGGAACTGCCGCTTAAGTTGTCTGTTCATGCCACTGGATAAAGCAAATATGCCACAGAGTAAGGTTGATAAGCATTTCATTAACAGTATTTTATGAAAGAAAAATCATGGCGATTTTGAAATGGTAGTAATGAAAAAGGGTTGCATTAACACATCTTAACTAATCACTGTGCCGAACAGTCTGGGTGTGTTACAAACTCAGAAACTTAAGAAATGATCCTATGAACTAGAATTATGTGTACCAATAAATGACAAATAATTTATTGTTGATTGCAACATGTACCACTATAACAGCTGAATACTAATGTTATACCGAACATACAAGTATTCCAAGGACAATATAATCCATACTGAATCCTGTGTGTAAAAAAACAGCGGGTATAAGATATTATGGGAATTTATACAGACTACATAACCTGTACAGAGGAAGAAGCACTATGAACAGAAAAAGCTAGGTGTTAGATCACACCTTTTTTCCTACCAATAATATTCACACAGAGAGAGACACACACACGCATTGGGGGTGAGGGAACTTTTTCAACTGAAAGCCACACTGGTTCCAGGCAAACAATGGCAAAAGGCAGGTGCCAACACTGGGCAGGACCACCTATAGTGCTGCCACACACATACTCTTCGTGGCCAGGCTGCCTTTTTTACTTGCTGTGTAAGTGAGATAGGGAGCTCCTCTCTCACTACATAGATAACACATTTTTTAAAAAGACACCCACAATAATCCCCAGTCAGGCAACTGCTTTTCCCTCCCTGGGGAGAGGATGATGGGATGCACACAGAGTCCATTAAGGCCATATCCAGTCCATGGCTTTCACAGTACCTGGCTCATGCCAGTTCTGTAAAAAAGTGAAATGGAATGATGAAGGTCTCAATGCACATGTATGCATAATCTACAACTGCCATGGAATGCTGTTGGACAAGGCTGGAGAAGTAAGTCCCTGAAAATAATACTCAGTTACTGCTGAGGCTGCTGTGTAGCATGGCCCAACTTCACGTGTGTCTGAAATGCATGATGTGATTCTTAAAATCATATTTCCTGACTTTTTGCACCTCAGGTGGTAATGTGCAGGGACGCTGTCTCTATGCAAAATTCAGTATTAACATTGCCATATCATACATTCAGAATTAGTTCTTTAAAGCCTGTGTTCATAATCCTCAAAGGGGGAAAGTCCTTTGAATGAGAATCTGTATGTGTGTTTTCCTGAGGTGCAGTGCAAATAACGTCCGGTTCCCCTCGCCCACCCCACCCTCTTTCTTTGTTCCACTTGCTGCTCTTATTGCTGTGATCTTGCTTTGTGAATCTAAGCTCTCTACTTCTTTCAGAGTGGAGGCTGGAGGATCTATGAAGTAACCACTTTTTTTTACCCATTAAGTAATGTTTTTGCAAGTTCCCAACATACCCTTCCAAGTCGCATAATTACCAGCAGAGGTCTTTTTTCCCCTCCCGATAATATACAAAATGATCTGCCCTTTTATGATTGCCTTGAGAATATCCCACAAAGCCAACGGTGAGGGAGCAGATGCCTCATTCAATTCCAAATAGAAGGAAATCTGTTGTCTCAAATAATCCCTAAATTCAGACACTTTCAGCCAGCTATTACCAAGAGACCACATTTTAAGAGCAGATGTGTTATTAAGGCTGAGAAATGTTATGAGAACTTCGTGATCTGACAAATAAATGCAATTCTATTGAGCATTCCAACATTTGGTTTGGGGTGGCTTGGATGGTGGCAGAGAGAGAAACACAGCTAAAAAACATAAATTTTAGACATTTTCAGAACATTTTTAGAGGACTCTAGTACATCTTTAATAGATCAAGCACATTTTCTTTACAAGAATGATTTTTCTCTGTGATGTTTAAAAATATGATATTCAGTGTAACATATACAGTATGTAACACATGATTGTGCACTATATGATATATGTTTTACTGCTGTGAACTAAAACTATAACTCAAACTCTCTCTCCCAGGTGTTCCAGTGTGTTACAGGGCAACCATTAGGTTTTGCTCACCCTAACTTAGATCAGAAAAAAAAAAACACCACAATAAAAAAGAGCTATTCTGGAAGCTAGAATTTTGTAGTACATTGGTAAGGCAGTTTCCACTCACTAGTGGCTTTGCATAGAGCTCCCAGTTCCATCCAGCATGGCCCATATGAAGAAAATTTGGGAGAGGGAATCCAAAAGTTCTGGAGGAAAATGTTCCCCACTCCTGTTACACACATTTTCCTGGGAAGAAGACCCATGGAAGCTTTTACATAGACATGTCTAAGATTGCACTGCAGAATCTCAGAGAGAGTGGTGGAAGAAGACACTCCTCCTTGAGTAGTCTGAAACAACAAAGAATCCTTTGAATACCATAAAAAAGGGACAGCAAAAGAGGGAAATGAAAAGTAATACAGTACAGTGAAATGCTGGCACCAAAAGAGAAGGTGAGTAGCAACTGCACCCTCCAATAAAGCCCAAGATCTCCCCTGGACACACCAACCACTGTGGCATTATAGAAGTCCCTGCACAATATATACATCCTCTTTCAGCTCGTCTGCAGCCATTTTGTGAAGCCATAAGGTGAAGAGAAAGATTTATGTCACAGTTTAGATAGCCTTTTTCCATTTCTGGAATTGTCGTCTTCTTCCTTTTCTTTCACAACTTAGTTTACTCTACTGAAATATTCCTATGTTGTCTGAACTAAGTGTGTGTACAATTGTTGTATGAGCCTTGAGTGAACAGGTCACAAATAGGATGCTGTATAGAAACCATAATGCAGCCATTTGTGCTCCCTTCACAAGGATGTTCTGCAAGTGGGGAGGAATTGCAATGCTGAAGCGCATGGATATTATCACAGACCTGAGGATGCATCAGGTCGAAATGTTTCCTAAAGGGTACAAAGTGGATTTTCTCCAATCTTTATGCCCTTTGCTTTGGCACAGATGAGCTTGGGGGTTATGAGCACCCCCAACTACAATAGATTGACTTGGCAAAGGGAAAATAAGAATACTGAGTGTCTGGTTCATGAGAACAAGTGGAATTGACAATATTAGACTCCTGACTGAAATAATAACAGAGAGAAGCATGTATTTCTGGATTTGTCTCTGAGTCTGGATGCTCAGGTTTTGGTGGTGGCCAGGAGTGCCTTTACACAGTTAAAAGTAGCGCGCCAGCTGTACTCATTTCTTAAGAGTTACATCTCGGCTGGATTACTGTAAAATGCTCTACATGGGGCTGCCCTTGGAGAGTTTGGAAACTCCAAAATGCCACAGCCAGATTGTTAACTGGGGGCAGTTACAGGGAACATTTAACTTCCCTGTTACAGCAGCTCCACTGGCTGCCAATCCATTTTTGGGCACAATTCAAAGTGCTGGATTTAATCTGTAAAGCCCTAAATGATTTGGGTCCTAGCTATATAAAAGACTGCATCTCCTTCTAAGAGCCTGCCCAGGCATTAAGATCATCAGAGGAGGCCTTTTTTTATTTTTTTTTATTTATTGTCATTGTAAGTATATACACAGTATACCCATACAATGAAATTCACAGACACCCAGAGACCAGACACATGCACACACAGTTTTTCTCAGTCTCACCGCCCTCACAGGCATGCTTGGTAGGTACACAGAAGAGGGTATCCTCTGTTGCTGCTTCCAGACTCAGGAACCCCCCCCCCTTCCAAAGGGAAGCCAGCCTGATTCTGTCTTAGATGTCCTTCCACAAGCAGGCAAAAACCTTTGTCATCAAGCAAGCTTTGCCTTAGTGACTGGCTGTCTGATGGGGTGGGAAGCTGAATGGATTGTTGTGCCCTGTTGCTTTTACCCTTTGTCATCAAGCAAGCTTTGCCTCAGTGACTGGCTGTCTGATGGGGTGGGAGGCTGAATGAATTGTTGTGCCCTGTTGCTTTTAAACATTTTTTAAGTATTGGTTTTATTTACAAATCTTAATATAATACTTGTTTAATTCTTTTAAAATATTTCTGTACTTAATGTTGTTTTTTTAATTATGTAAACCACCTTGAGTCCTTTTAAGGAGAAACACTGAGGTAAAAATATTTTAAATGAATAAAATATTTTATTGAAAGGCGTCTGATGGCAGGCATCCTGTGATCAGGGAAGAGGGAGTGCCTCACCTGCAAATTGGAGGCTGAGGTGTTCCCCTGTCTTGAACCATAAGCCGCTGTATATATTGGAGCCAAATGTATTTCAGGTACAACATTCTTTTTTAGGATTAAATTGGTGTAAGCTTTCACAGTAGGGCATCCCTTGTATTGCCTCCTCGATGAAACTAAAGATGGAAGAACTAAATTACTGTCCTTGATAACAGTTATATTCCGAAAACGCATCGGACTCGTGCTTATTAACTTTGCTAGCATTGATGATAGCTGCTTTCTTTTTACTTTTTTCCAACTCCCAGCTGCTTTTTGCTGCCATCCTCCTTGCATCGGACTCGTGCTTATTAACTGTTTGCTAGCATTGATGATAGCTGCTTTCCTTTAACTTTTTTCCCAGCTCCCAGCTGCTTTTTGCTGCCATCCTCCTTTCCCCACCCTTCCTAATTTGTATTGCATAAATAATCAAGATAATACCCTAGCAGTCACCACTGAATGCATCTGTTTCCAAGCAGACCACACGCCCCAGTTTGTGCTCTACTTAGTCAAGGATGCAGAGATCAAGTGTTGTGGGTTTTGTTGCGACTCTTTGGATTTCTGTTTAGGACACTGCCTGGGCCCACCAAGCAGTGGTGAATCTGTAACTGAGCTATATCATTTCCCACCCCAAGGTGAAAGGTTTGTATGAAATCATGCTTTTCCATAAAGGAAAAAAAAACACACACTTCACAGCCTGTACACAAAAAGCGAAATGTTAATGGAAAGGGTGTTAGGCTTGTTTTCTCTGTAACATGCTAGTCTTTTCTGTGGGCAAGGAGTTGCTTTCCTAAAGAAGTTGTTCACTGTGCAGAAATGTACACAAACTATATGGCAGAGGTGCTTTGCTGAGCTTTAGTTGTCAAGGCAAACCACTACACAAATTTTATACTTTCCTTCCACAGCACCTGCTAACAGAAATAATCAGAATAGAGATGGGGAAAATATGTGGCCCTCATATCATCCTTCATCATTTGTTCTAGCTGCAACCCAATAACATCTGGAGAACCAAACATCCCCTATCCTCATATTGGAAGAATGTAATTCAAGAACATAGTCAGGAGCTGAGTAACCATCTTACAGTGTATTAGCTATTCTTTACATGAAACAATGTTCTTAAAAGAACTGCATGATGGACAACAGCAGGCACTAAGTATGCTTGGGCATCTTCTAGGGCCTCAACACCTTTTTCAGGCCTGCCACTAATGCTTGTCCCTGGGGCCAGCACATGGACCTGGGTCCCATCATTTTGACATCCAACAATGTACTGGAGCAATATCGTGTCAGTCACTTTGTTGGAAATTGAAACACCAGTTTCTGAACCAAATGGCCTGTTGCTTCTGGGATTGTGTGTCACTGCCATCAATATACAGAGGAAGGCCACCAACAGGTATTTTACTAAGGTCCCTTCAAAGATGGAGATGACTCTAAGGCTAGCACCACTACCTATGGAACTTCAGCATTGCCAGCAAAGAGAAAATATACCACCAGAAAAGAAGATGAAAGAGAGTCAGATTGGCGTAAGATTTACATATGCTGCGAGAGACAGAGATGGAGAATTAGAAATGCTACGTAGATATTAAATAGAAATTCAAACCATCTTGTCACAGTCATGAATATTTTGATCAAGGAGCTTTGTACTTCTTTAGTTGGCCCTCCAGATGCTCCCTGCTAAAAGGCAACCTCAAGGCCACAACTTCCCCTTGTTATGGTTCTTTATTCTTAATGTAGACTTGAACTGGAGAGTCCTTGAAACAGGTATCACTGGCTGTCCTCTGCCATCCCTTCAAAGAAAGCAGTGTCTTACCTGTGGAGTAAGACGGGTAACTACTCAGAGGGCTACACTTTCGTATTTCCTATTGCTATTAGAGTGCATACTATATATTCACTCAGAAGATTATGCTGTTTGGCATAAAAGGCAAAGGAAGAGCAGATATGTGTCAAAAACAAAAGAAATAAGTTAAATATTTGGCAAAAATAAAAGCAATAAGCTAATAACCAATTTGCAATGCTCAGTGTCCCACAAAAGCTCTTTGTAGTAAATGGGATTTGGCCTTGTAGGGCCATGTGAAGACTGCAGTCTAAATCTGCTAATTAAATCACAATAAATAACAGGGATTGATGGTTGATTTTACCATTTCCTTTATTGTCTCTGACCTGTACTCTTGAGATGATAAATGGACCTCCTTAACCTCTCATGGCAGCATAAGCCTGAGCCTCCTTAGACAAAGATGAATGAGATGAAATCCTGGCAGCCATTCCCACACTTTACAAAAATCAGTCCTAAATTTAGAGTGCATGGGTTTATGCTGTTTACAAAAGTACCTTTGAATTCTTTTAGAATAATATATACTGTATACTTATTATTTTTGTTAGCTATAGATATAATATATAGTTATATAGCTAGTTATATAATATATATTATGTAAGTGTGATTTTATTTTAAGTTTGTCTATGAAGACTTTTCAGTTTCCTAGATAACATTCTTGAAGCATTCCTCTTCTTTGGTTTTGAACACTGATAGGCACCATTCAAGTATGAGCCATAGAGATGAATATACCAATGCCAGGTGGGTTTTTTAAAGCTGTAATTTTATGGTGGGCAAGTGTAGTTCAAGCTAAACATTTTTATTAGGCATCCTTCAGTCTCGAGAGACTATGGTAACGTGCTATATGGAGGATGTGGAATAGCATCTAGTGTGGCTGAGAAGGCCGATTCGAGAATGACAATCCCTTCCAAACTGAAGACAAATACAATCTGTCCCCTGTCCAGCTCCCTGATTTTGCTGGTTTCAGGACTGTCTCTTTGCCTCGGCCTGCTGGACAAGGGTCTCTTCAAATTGGGAGAGGCCATAATGCACCACTTGCCTCCATACTCAGATGTCAAGCTTTCCCA